GAAAAAGATCTTATGTTAGTAAATACACTCATCTGGTATTCAATCCCATAGGTATTGAGAATCCCGCCCTCATTACGCCCCTTCATCTTTCTATCTCCATAATAAATTGTTTCTCAGCATACACACGTGTATGCAGAGCTTTTCTAAATAATGAGAAAAATTTTATTGAAATATCGTTGACTGTTTTTCGGTTCAAATCCCTCCAAAAAAAAATAGTGGATTAATTTTCATTATTCAAGTGGTGGAAGAAGCAAGGATTTAATGTGTAATTGTTCTAATTAAAATCGATTGAGAGCCTCTGGCAAAAAATATTGAGAGTAACGTAACACGTATATATTTTATGAGCTCCATAAGGAAGTGTCGTAGTAGTTGATTGTTTCACGAGCACAAGACGATGTAAAGTCGATCAGAAATTACCTCAGGGCCTCCTACGATCAATGGTAGTAATAAAATTTTTCCATCGTCAAAAGATTGATTTCTTAGTAATTTTAAACATTTTAATTGCTATAAGAAATTGTTCGTCACATTAATACATTTATTTGTTACAAAATACTTTTTATTATTTTATTATTTATGTTTAAAGTTAATTTAATATTTTTTTATTTGTTTGAATAATTGTTTATTGAGTTTATTGTGAGTTGGAGCGTGATTTTTTCAGCATTGTTGTATGTTTAAAGGTGTAGAATAAAAAATAAAAGCTATTAAAATGAATTTTCTGCAAACAAAAAGCCTTGAGCTCACGTTGTATGTATGAATTATGTGTATATACGTGCTGCAAAATACTCATGACGCAAACACATTGCCAATTTGAATTTACTTTTTACTGCGTGACGTTTTAAAAGCTAGCTACAGCTTAGGGTATTGGATATAATACCAAGGCAAACATAAAACAAAACATAATTCTGCGAACTTATGCCATCTGTGCATCGTTAAGTGAACTTTTGGAATTTATTTAAAAAATATTCAAACAATTATTCACCATTTTTGCCAATTTATTGCCATCTTAAATACACTACTTTCTAATGAAACAAACTTATTTCAAATGAAAGGGAAACAAATTAACAAAGCAATTGTTATTAAAATTATTTATCTATTCTTCGTATAACTTTGATTTCCTTATCACTCGAAACAGGGTCCGGTAAGAGGACCGGAAGTCCGCCTTACAGGATATGACGTCAGAAAATGAACTGTGAAAGCTATAAAAAAATTAAATAAAAGAATATATATGAGAGTCAATACGTATATTGTATATATTTTCTTGGATGTTTACAGGATTTATATACACAGTCTTTTGACAAATGATCTTATATATCTACATATATAATAATATCATGTTGGGTCTAGTTACTCTCTTATATAAATTCTGATTCACAATTTATTTTTATTTATCCATTGATTGGTTCATTCATACGAAATTTTTCTATGCTGCTGAATGAAAGCCACTCTGTCGACGATATTCTCCATCACATCTGACTCTTGAATTGAATTATATAATTCCATGAACCTGTGAACCTTATAGAGTATTGTTTATTTCTATAATTTTTCTCAGACCATCAGGAAATTGGAGCATAAAATAATTAGTAGTGTTGAGCTATTTAATATTGTTTAATAGGTAAATTAGTCGTAATTATTTATTATCAATTCATTTGAAGTGTTGTTATATTTATAATTTATAATATTATATGTTAAATCGTTATAACAAATATTATTGCTGAAAGTATAATGAAGGTGGGGGTCCCCTTGTAACTTTTGACCTCACTCTACTGATTTATGACACATCTCAGTCTCTTCGACCTCATTTCAAATTAATTTTACTACTTTTTATAAAATAATTCTACCTCTCTTTTTTTTTTTGTAATCCACCAACAAGTCAAAACAAGTGGTTTAATAAAAAATTATTCATTAATAATATCAGTTTATAAAAACTGCAAAACTAATTTGTTTTATTTCAAACTTTTCTTTTTTACAAGACTCAATCCATTTTTTAATCATTGATTTAATTTTTAATAAATAAATATTGTAATTATTTTTTTAAGAGTAAAATTGAAATTAAGGTTTGAGAATATTTTTGGGTTATATAAAGAAGAAATGAATGCAAAAATTTCATCTACATCTCAAAAGCTATATGGCTTTGATATTTAAAATATGACACGCCAAGCAGTCTGTCTTGTATTTAGCAGCAGTTAAAATATCTCAGTAAAATAAAAATTCACATCTGGAGTAGAGAGTTCCATAACTATTATCTCAAAGTGTCAACAACAAAAAAAAAGAAAGGAATAATAATTAAATATATTTAATTATAATAAAAATAATATAAATATAAAAATAATATTATTTTAATAATTAAATTATATAGAAGTTGTAACTAATAAAATAAATAAATTGAGTAATTCTCGATTAAATAAATCATGATTTATTCATAATAAAATTGAAGATAAGACCAACAACTAACGACTTATAGATAAAGGGTTAGTGACATTAAATATACTTTTTGGTTCATAAATATATTAATTAATACATAAATATAAAAATATTACAATATATAATGCAAGATAAAAGCATATTTTTTATTCTCAAGTATTTCAATATGCACTAATGTGTAAGTTGATGTTACTGAAAAAAAATTAAACTGATTTATAAAATATTAATGATTCATTTTTTTCTCGTCTATTTGACTGTTCATAATCACTACTGAATGTATCATATTGTATATTTATAGCACATTTCTTTCTACATATGGAAAAAGTTAACTTCTTGACCTTAAATGAAGTCAAATTGTGAACATGTATTGGAAGCTTTATCCATAATCTTCAATTAATATTATTAATATTCATTTAAAACTCATTCATGATATAATTACTCTGTAATTATTCTGACAAAATAACTCTAAAATCAAATATTACATAATGAGTTGAATTTAAAAGCATTTTTTTTGTTAAAGTACCAAAATAAAAAATTCAAAATAAATTTTTTTTAATTAAATATTGAGTACTATTATTTATTAAATATTATATATTAAATCATTACGTATATAAATGACTAGAAATAAAAATAATGATGATGGAAAAGAAGATTTTTTAAATGAAGAGAATGGGGGACGTGGTCCAGAGATCGATGTGGATCATTGCAATTGACTCTCATTACGAATACACATATGCAAATATACATAACTTGGAAAAAAAAAATAATAATAATAAAAACATGTTCAAAGCATGATCCTAGAAATTGTAAAACACATGATCAGACATTAGCAATAATATCCTAAGTGTTTGTCACACTTTATATTATTTCTGCGAATTATTTTCTGCATTCTTATTTGCATAAAAATATTATCATTTTTCTTTGAGAAAAATATATTTTATTCAAAAGCATTTATCAAGATAAAAAAAAACTTTGAATTCTAAGTAATTAGAAAAATATCGTACTATTTCACTATCTCTAACTTTTTTTTTTTCTATAGAAAGCTTTGGGATCATTAAAAATAAAAAATTAACCATACCCATTTTCATATCAAAATAAATCCATGTTAATTAGATTATGTTATCCGATCTGTAGGGTATCCTAATCTTTCATTTTAACTAAAATGTACGTCCTTGTGATAAGAATTGATATAAATGTTATTATGTCATATAAAATACTTAAAAATTCATTGAAAATAATGAAATAATATTGAGTTGCAAATAATGTAAAGAAATAACAATAAAATGTTAAATTCTCTAAAAAGGAAACATCTGCAAACTCTTATCATTTTTCCCATCCCACATTATATATGAGCACCCGGCAGTCGTTATACAATTCACAACGATCACTTTGTTCATTCGTAACGTCGTTGTTTGTTACTATACATGCTCCAAGAATTTACAATATGCACAGAATAAAACTAAAACAATATTTCAACTTGCAAAACTATTTTTTAACATCAAAAATATTGCATTTAAAAGAGCCAATAAAATACCTGGCTATAAATAAATAATTTACAAAAAGAAAGATTGCCATTAATATCACTGCAAGTCGTAGTGTTTTATATTAAAACACTTAAAGTGTTTTAAAATGATGTCACCCATTTGATTAACATTTGTTGTAACTTTTGAGACACTTCGAAGTGCTTTGAAAGTGATTAGAATTTTAATCAAATGGATGATATGATTTTAAAACACTTTAAGTGTATTAAAATAGAACACTAAGATTTGCAGTGATGGAATAAAATAAAAGAATCCATTGAATCTTATAAGATTGGCTCTTTTATTTATAATTCTCATGAAGTTATTGTTTATGATATATAATGTAATAAAATGGATATCAAGAAAGAGTATGTTTTAACGTTATTCATTGCTCGTCAATGTAAATCTTCATCCATCGTAAAAGAACATTCACACACTCATACAGTGACTTAACTGTTTTTGTGTATATCACTAGGGCTAAAAGAGATAAGATTTCATAACCTTTGATCTTAACTAAATTTTTTCTTTTTATTTTCATTATTATAATTGCAAATAACACTGTACATATATCAATTGATGTATGCAGATGACCAAATTGAGAATAAATTAAATTTATTCATATATTTATTTATTTTACAGTGATATTATTATTAAAAATAATCATAATTATATTATTTATCTGAATAAGAAGCTTTGTCAATTCATTGATTTTTTGGAACTTGAATTTTAGATTTACTGAGATATTTTTGAAGATTTTATTCATTGACTTAGAGTTGTAGTTTGAATGAAAGTCTTCTCCACATTTAGTGGAATTTATTCTCATATGTTTATCATGTTGATAAAAAATATGATGAATTATTTTTTTGAGTGTTTTACACAAAATTAAGTTGTGTGGTGATGATTGGAAGACTTGAGTTTCAGTTGAGATCCAAGAGAAGCTCTTTTGGAGCATCATTTCATTTAAAATGTAAAAGTATTTGATGAAAAAAATGTATTAGTTTAAAAAAAGATGTAACAAAGGTATAACTGGTGACATTGAATTTGTTGATTTGTTCCTAGATGATCTATCAAAGCATTCAGAGTTGAGACAATCAATAAGGGAGAATGCAACTGTTGAAGAATCATCGACAATTGATATCAAAGAAGCAAACCAGCCAATAAAAAATGAAAACGTAAATTCCTGTATCAAAGAAGTATGTCTGAATCATCAACAACATGAACAGCAACAACAACAGCAGCAAAAACAAGAATTCGAGTATGTTGAGGATGGCGGGGATAATGTGGGCGTGCTGGAGGCGGTCCAACCGGAAATTGAAAATGGCGTACTGGTTGAAACTAACACATCTGAACATAGTGCACTATCTTTTGTTCCAACAGAACATCAAAGTACAAACTCTTACAGTCTTCATCATACTCTAGACTATCAACAACCCCATGAAATTTTTCACCACAGGTAATATACACCTTTTCGAGTAACATCAATTATTCTACTGCAATTTCTAAGTCTTTTAAATACCTATTTTTCTGGTTTATTGTGATAGTTTTTTTTTTCAAAACAATTATAACAATAGTTTGTTTATTTTATTAGGGATTGTCTTACAGTAGAATCTCAAGATTATAGTTGTGATAAATCGAAAGAAAAGAAGGAACAAAATCAGCAACAGGTTGATTCCCTCCATCAACACCACCACTCACACCATGAACATCATCAACAGCACCATCAATATGAGCAGCTCGGCGGGGCAATAGAAGTAACTGTTCCTGAGGGAGGGGATGACCGGCATTCATCCGAGGTTTCGCTTCCAAGTGAGGGAAATCGAGTCAGTAGTCACATGCCACACTCTACGATGCATCGGTACGCAGCAACTGAGACACTCTCTCAATCAGATCATCATCTCAATCATCATCATCATCACCATCACCACCAACAACCACAACATTTAAGTGATCCGCAATTGATACAAAGACATTTGGAAGACGCTAATCATCATCAAGAAACAGTGGAAAGACTTAGTGGAATTGTAGCAGCAATGAGAGGAACAAGGAGTGATTTTGCTTTAGGAGTCTTGTTTCCAACACTAACAGGAGGTGGATCAGCTACTACGGAATCAGTTGAAAGTGCTAGTGCACATCATTTAGATGATGTTTTACCAGAAGATACTTATCTTCAACATCAAATAAGATCCAGTGGCGGTGGTGGAGGTGTTTCACCGCCAGTAAGAACTGGAAGTTCTCCAAGTTCTAGTAGGAGTCCTCATGACGATCAAGGAATTAATTCTCCACATCGACATTCGTCCAATAATGATGGAAGTTATAGTCCTAATGATCAAAGTAGAATTCAAAATTTTACACATCTGACTTCAATGCAACCACCTAATCCAATTGCTGCTCATGGACTTGCAGACAATGAACGGAATGATCTTTACATGGTTTCTGTCTACAATCAACATTCAAGTACTCCTCATCATCACCATCAAGATCACGACCAAGGGCCTCCAACTCCTCATTCATCACCTGGACCATTGACTAAGTAAGTGTCAATATTGATTTTTAATTCATTAATCATTCACTATTTAAACATTGAAACATCTTTCAACTTAAAGTAAAAATTCTCTAAAGAAAATGAAACAATGTCCATAGCTGATATGTTTCTTATTCATCAGTAGAATGATTCAACTTTGTTTATTAATGCATTGCCTCATTTAGCATAAACTCTTTAAAATATATGGAAAATAGCATCACTATTAGACATCAAGGACAGAACATTACTCAGCTAAGTACCTAAATACTTGAGTAATAGCTTTCACTTTTATTTACTTACTGCATTTTTAGCTTAACAATATTTGTCGTTGAGTTCCTAGAAGAATCCAAACTTCCAATGAATTGAAAAGTTTATCAACTATATTAGTAATATCAATATTTTTTATTTTTAACAGCCGGTTGAAAGTCGTGTTCATATCGTTATTTATTAAAACGATGGGAAATTCTTGTGATATTCATTTAAAGGACTTGGTATATAAACAATTGAAATTTATTACTCAATGAAACCTAGTAAATATATACCACTGGAGGCATTGATCATTAATTGCTTAAGGCCCTAGAGGGATGTAGAAATAAAAATGATTCCAACTTCTAATGTTACCTCGTAAATATGTTTAGAAGTTGATACGTACATCGTTTCAAAATGTCTTGTCGTCGCAACCGAATAATTAGGGTTCACTCTTACTTCAGTTTAACGGTAATTAACGATAACAGTTAAGGGGAAAAATTAGAAATATTCTTTATTGGTAATTAGTAAATTCATAAATTGAAATTTTTTATATCAAATATTTTGATTCAAGTATTTTTTTTGTTTTGTTGTTTTGTTTTTTTTTTTTTTTCGTTGTATGGATGAGCATAATAAAAGTATCTCATCAATTTAGGAGTATAGATTGCTGTATACATTGCAATTACTGCAAACGTTTACATAATTTTTATCTCAGAGTCTTATTTATCCGATAGAGTGGTCGTATCAATGTCTTTAAAGCTCAAAGCTATTATATTATAAAACTTATGAGACAAAATATCTACATTAGAATAGTACACTAGTTTGAAATATATATATTGTATTACGTAATACAACAAATTAAAGTTAATATTTCATTATTATTTTATGAATGTAATTAGTTTTAGATTTCCGGTGAGATTTTATTTCAACTGGTTTTTTATATCAATTTCTCTCGTATTTTACTATCAAATGTATCTCATCTTGTGATTGGCTCATTCATTTCATTCTGATAATATTAACAAACCACTCCATGTAGTTAATTATAAATAATTGAAAAATAATTAATTATTTTTTTTTTTAAATAATATAATTCCTTAGTCAATTAATTATTCTAAAATTTAATTGTTTCATTTGTAGGCAAATACACTTTTCAATGTTTTATTTTTATTTAGATTTTAACTCAAACTGTTTTTGCTTTTTTTTTATGTTAAATTCTTCTTTTAATCTGACGTTATTTACATGTAAAAATTCAATTAAAAAAAAAGTCGGAATTATTTTTGGAAGTTTGATTTAAGACAAAAACAAATTAGAAGAATATTAGAATGGAACACAACAAAACAAATTTTTCGACTTGAGTTTTTTTTTTTCCAAAACATGTCTCTTAATAAGAACACCATCCTAACAATAATCAATAAAATTTTCTGTAAAATATAAAATTAAAAACAATATAGACAATAATTGGAAACATAAATAGATATATTTAGTGTTATTAATGGTTTTAGTGTAATTAAAAATTGTGCAGACGTTTATATATATATATGTATAATTAATAGAATGAAATATATATATATATATATATATATAGATCTTTAATTACACCTACAATAGAAAAAAAGATTTCACATTAAGTATATACATGTGTGTATATACATAAGTGTAGATTTATACATTTGAAGAAGTAGGGATGTTAAGAAATGTTAAAGTAGAAGGGAGAAAGAAGTTAAGAGTGAGTATATATGTACATGTATTTATATGTATGCGTTGGAGGGGAAACTTCTTGGTCACCTTTGAAGACCGTGACAGAAACCATCGTCTGCAGTATTTGGTTTAGTTTACGAATTGCAGTTCTTTTTGTACGGAGACAAAGCAGCTCCGTACGATTTATACCTTAAACTCTAAACTATTTATCTGTTTTACTCTATTATTAATAACAATTACAATTAATTCATTTAATTATTTTTAACAAAGCACCAAAAGGAAACAATGCAGTAAGTTTAATCTTATTAAATTAAATATTTTTTATCTAAAAAAATAAAACCTCAATATTTAAACAGAGTAAATATATCTTATTTTATTTATTAATATTTAAAGTATTAAGAATATTAGAAAATATTTAGATATATATTTAAATATGTATTTATTGGAAAAAAGCAAGATTATGAATTTACGTAGTCTCCAACTTTTCGAGTCTATTGATTTAACGTAAAAAAAAAAAGGAAAAATAATCGAAGGGATATTGATAAGATTTTTTTTCGGTTCGAATCGAAAGGGAAAACAAATCGATAACGGTTCAGTTATGTTTGAGTTAAATATCTGTAACGATTTCCTTCAACAGTATTTTGTATGTGATATTGTTTTTGACAGTTTTTGTCGACATTAGTCATCTCAAAATAAAAGGATAAAACATCATACTTGAGATAAAATCTGATGCGGTTAAATAAATATTAATATAGTGCCCTACTTTAGATTTTATTTCTAACTTCAAAAGTGATCTATGAGTTAACAATCAGATATTTCGTCTATTATTGTCAACTCTAGTATTAAATTAACATTTATTTAAAAAAAAAAAAAAAAGGAACAATAATCTATTTAACTTATTGACAGGATATTAAAATGAAAAAATTAACTATCAAGTTTCTTTGAATGAACTTCTTTGATTGTTTAGAAAAAAAAATGTGCATGATATTCGATGATCAATATATCTTATAAAAAAATTTAAGCGTAAAAAATTAATACTACATAGCATCAATGATTCACAGAAGAAATCTGAGAATGTTCTGAATTAATAGCAACATCAATGCAAGTACAGATTATACGTATAGTAATCAAGTATGTATTCTGCATAAGTTGTGTTGCGTTTTAATATATTACTCGTTGTGTTTTCTTGCTAATGTTGAATGAAACTATGTCTGACGTCATGGTCTCTGTAAATTCAAACTTTTTTTTTTTTTTCATTTTTGAGACCACTGAGAAATTTATTCTGATAATCAATAAGTCACCATATACAAACTTCCAAAAGTTGGATTTAAAAATGATTTATTAGAAATCAGTTCAATAGGATTGCTAATTAATCTTTGATACGGTGGAAAGGGAACATGTAGATGCACTTATGGGTCTATTAGTGGCTACAAAACATTACGGAATTCCACGAGACAGAGTCCTTGTCTTCCTTCCGTCTTGGTACTTACTCAGCCGTGAATCCATGGCACGCGTGTTGCACTTAAAATGCAACCAGGACGTGTTAACACGTGCATAAAAACCGCTACTTTTAAAAAATACTTGCTTATTTAAACATAAACTTATAAGCAACATTGAGAAAAAAAAACATCTACATAATTTTTTTCTTTTATCATACATATTTTTTTTTTTTTAATGAAACATTAATCATTTTTTATAAAAGAGATTATAACATTTGTTCTTCAGTTTGTGACAGTAGATATTGAAAACAATGAATATTTTTTTTTTGTTTTTTGAGGAAAAAAGGAATGAAAGATACTGATGGATGCGGTAGAGGAAAAAAATTATGCACGTGCATTTCTGATATTGTTAGATTGTTTTGTTCTGTCTCTTATGAAACTCTAAAGCACGTAAGTTAAACGTTTGAACGTGCTTCACTCGGTAGCTGGTACAACTTCAAGGTTGTATAACACATCCGTGTTAAAATTTTGACTAAACATTGTCAAGAGGTATTGTTTTCTATACACAAATGAGTTGGCAACATTTTTGTTAATTGCCAAGCTAAAATAAAAGTCATCAAATCTCTGTAGGATCTAGTTTCTTTTTATTTTTAATAAAAAATTTTGTTGGATATTAAATGAAGAATATTTGATGTAATAAGTTGATGATAGGCTTGTTTATAAAGATAGTTGACTGAGTAAAATTGATACTCCATGGTGGTAATGGAGAATGTATGTTTAGTTTATAACCATGGACTGTATAAAAGTTAATGAACAAAACTCTAGGCACACGCCCGCATTAGGTGAACCTAAATACCGCAATTCCGGCCTCCTGCAAGGGTTTACTACTTTTCTATCAACACTCTTATGACATTAATTTAGCATTTTGTCCATTTAAAAATGGAAATTTATTTATAAAATCTTGGTATTTAAAGTAACGATATGATAAAAAAGAGATAATTAGAAAAAAAAAAAAAAGAATAATATTGATTAAAATGAATAAATAAACAAATAGAAGAAATGTTGTTGATTAATTTTGTGTGTTCAAGTAACTGAAAGAAGTATAAATATGTGGCATGCATGATTTTGGAATCCCCAAGAGTAGAGGCGTATGCCAGACACACTTTTTTTCATCCTGAAAAAATATATGAATATACATACACTTACATGTTTTTCTAAAACATTTGTTTCTCATATTTCAGTCCTTCACTGTATCGCACTATGAGTGGAGTTGGTTCAATGGGAGGAGCAGGTGCAGGAGGTGGTTACGCACTATCATATATGACTGCTAGTCCCACCGAGCTTGCTGGATCTCCTCAGCAGCTTTGGAGTTCATCAAGTAAGAATTAAATGAAATTTATTCCTTCAATAAACCCAAAAGGAAAAAAAAACTTTCCCAGAGTTATCTTAATTTTTTTCAGTCCATTCCTTCATGTTTGATACTCATTTCTTTTTAAAGGTCTCAATACATCACTCCCACCAATATCTGAAGATTATAATAATAAACCAACTGGAGGAGTTACCCATCAAAGTTTACCATCATTTTCACAACCCTTTGGAGCACGTTCTGGTGGTCGAGGATACTCTCCACCATATTGTATACAACCAACAACAACAGGATCATCAGGTGGTACCACGGGTGAAACTTGGCCTTATCCCATTCCAACAGTTGATTCTCTTGCTTCCTCATACACAAGTATTGCAACACCCACAAGACGACAAACAAACAATCCATCAGGCGCACATAATCAAATAAGCGCAGCTGCAAGTCTATCAGCAAGTAAGTTATTTCATAAAAATTATTTTATTCAGTTTAGAAATAATTTTTATAATTAAAATAACATCTATAAATCAGAGAAAATGCATTGTTCAATAAAATTCTCTAATCATTTCAATGATTTTTTTTCAATATGCCACTAGAGAAGCTTTTATCTGAAAAGCTATTTTTACATTTTCTCACTTTCATCATGTTGCTCATAATGTTTAGATAAATATACTAGGAGTTTATCCAGTAGTAAACAATTATTTATTTAGTGTTATCTAAAATAGTAATAATAATTAATTATCATTATTCAATGATGGCACATGTTCATATATACATTTCATTTACACGAATATTTAAGACATCAATTCATCAAAACCTTGATGATTATTGTTCACTTATTTTAATTACCATCACGTACGTGAATAATTATTTTATAAATTCTCACGTTTGAGATTGAGTTGAATCATAAATCGTGTCTCTATAATGTTTAGTTGATGATTTAATCTGGTTTATAAACATGAGAAACAATGAATTAAGTTAAATTAAAAATTGTTATAATTTTACGAATTTTAATACAAAAGAAGAAAAATTTTTAACAAAGAAAATTATTTTATTTATTGTATTATCTTAGTCTTGAGTAGATGCTTCTTTTATCTAACAATTTAAAAATACTTGAGAATAAAATTGGTTATTTTAGAAAATTGTACTGTAAATGTAAACAATATTAAAAGTGAAAAATGAAATCACATGTTGATGAATTGAAATATTTCAACACATTAAGTTGGAATTTTTCATTTCTACTAAATTTCTCTTTTGTTTTGGAGTTAATTTGATTGAAATTTTGAATTTTACTGATGAAATCGAAAATGAATCATAATATTAATTACAGTCCTGAAAGTTATGTTATTTCGTAAGCTTAAATCTTATTTCCACAAAATTTGATCTAAAAGATGATAAAAAAAAAATCAGAATTCTCGTTTTAGAGTAATAAAGTATTAAAGAATATAAATAATTATTATAAAAAATTTTCTAGAATAAAATAAATATAATTGACGTTCAATTAAAGGCTTTAATCATAAAATAATATATTTTTATCTTTCACTTGAACAGATCAGTGACCTTAAAGCCTCAATAAGGATTAATACACATTTTATCAAGACTTTTTTTTGAAGTATAGCAGAGTTTTAAGATAAAATTTTTGTTATTTTTACAAACTTTTTCATATTAAAAATAAAAACTTTTTCGTTGATTATGTTAAAAATATGTTATTGATAAAATGTAGTAGTGATTATAATTGTAGATGATTTTCTAAAAAAGAAAAAAAAAAGTATTATATCAATTATACTGATGATATTTATTGAAAAAATCTCTTATATTATCAAACACTAAAAAAAATGATAAATACGTAACTTTGAAACCATGACCTAGGCATTGAATTCTAAATGTATAATCAAGTTATGTCTACGAGTGATATATACGCAGCTTTGGTGATAGAGTATATGTAGTATTTATCCCAAATGTGGCTGTTATACGATAATTTTCGATATATTTTACCAAGTCGATGACACCTAGAATATCTAATCACTCTTATGATATGTTTCTTAGTTGTATTGATATTCTTATAACAATATAGGTGAATAAATTGTAGTATTCACATAACACTGTCGTACTTATGATTAAGTTATTAATCGAAAATTGACGAGGACAAGGAAATAATATTTAATGGTCTTAAAATATTATCTAATAAAATAAATGATTTATCTCTCATTTATATGAATTATTATGATTGTTTTTGTTATCGGTACTGGTTCTTGTATACCAAAAATTTTTTATCATCACTCCAAGTTTAAGAGAATAAATAAAATGTCATTTTCTATTATCATGATGTACATAACAATTTTGCAATAATATTTTTTTTTTGCAATGTATTAATTAATTATATTGGATTATAAATATGATAAAAGAATAACCTTAGATTGAACTTGCTATCTTGGATTAAAATATGGAAAAAGTTTCGAAATGAAATGAAAAAAATGAGTCAATCAGACTAAACTAGGGCCAATGAGTCGTCATTATTATTCTTAAATTTAAATCAAGTAATATTAAACAAATGTTATATAATTGAAGATATTTAATTGTTTAAAATTATTTTTGATAATCAATCAATAGTTGAATAATATTGTTGAATAGTTTTATTAAATCGTGAGAGTAAAATCATCATTTCCATCAGGTTAATGTCCTATCCAGAGTTCATTGGATAGTTTAAGCAATTAATGCACATTCCATAAGGCGACAGGGAGACGCGAGAGCGCAATATGAATCGTAGATTTCCTTTTAGTCAGCATTTTTTCTTACTTGGGCTATATAATACTTATGTAATGTCGTCTTACATCCTAGTAGATGCAATTGTGATACTAAGGATCTTGAAAAAAAAATATTTATTTGAATCTTTTTATCAAAAATATATTTATTCGTTGATGAAATTGTTCAAACACGCTGTTTTCATATTAATGAAAAATAAAGTAACGTCTAAAGTTAATCTTTAAGTGATTTTTAACGACTTGTTTGTCATATAAAATTGTAAGAATTCTTGACGACATAATACATAAGTTTAATTTTATAGATTCATGTCTACAATCACATTACATTTTCATTTAGTTGTTGTTATAATTAATATTGACAGGTAGCTAAAAAATGGAATAAAAAACAACTACTATGATAAATAATTTTCAACTGCAATCACTAAAGTTTTTCTAGTGTCTATTTATCAGTAATCGCCGGAAGCCTTGATAAGACTATGTATCCGCCCACACTTTTTCCTCTTTTTTAAACTGTTCTGTTGCCTCTTTTTAGACATTCTCCCTTCAATACATGATATTATATTTTACTGAACTGTAGTTTATTCTATGTCGTACTTATCTTTCGTTATTGTCTACAAAAAAAATTTTTTAATTTTTATTAAAAAAAAAAATGATACATCAAGATGACGAGAATATTCTTGTTGGATAAAATCATTAAATAAATAAAATTTGAAAAATATCTTTTTCTATAAATATTTGCATTTTTTTTATAGATTATTTACTTATCATTATTATGATCGTAAAACAAAAACTCCAATGAAGTCGTTAAATAGCAATTATAATATTTCACCTTAGGGAAAATGTTTCATAAATTACTCAGAATATGTTTGAATTCTCGTAGACAATATAAAGCAATATGTATATTTTTATCTCCATCAGTATGTAATAAAATTTTTCCATTCCAGTTTTATTTTTATTCAGTTCATGAGTGAGATATGCAAAAATATAATCGTAAATATTTACATGAAAATCATGGGAAAAAAAAACTAGCAAAAAAGTAATTACACATTATTTTGTGCAATGTATATATATGTATAGTTAAAAGAGGCCAGTACCGATATCATGTTTTACTTTAAAACAATCCAAGTACATGTGAGTCATTCACTTAGAAATGTGAATATTATATTGATACTATAAATTGACATTACAAAAAAATGCGTTAATAAAAAAATAAAAAGAGGGAATCGAAAAATGAATATTGTAGTAAAAAAAAATTTGTTTAAACAAATTAATTTTAGCAATAAAAAATAAAATGATGTAGTGCACAGCATCGAGGCAGAATACTATACAGAGGGTCGCGAATGTGTGAACTGTGGAGCGATATCGACCCCTCTGTGGCGAAGAGACGGTACGGGACATTATCTATGCAATGCCTGCGGCCTTTACCACAAGATGAACGGCATGAATCGGCCACTGGTCAAGCAATCGAGACGATTGGTAAGCAAAGGCTCCGTCATCAAAGCAAAGAAACCAATTTAAATAAAAGAAAAAGATATAATATAAAAAATCGACCAGGAGCCTTAGTGGAAATTCGCCCGTGCTGCACCTTTTCGTTACATACTTTGTTATCCCTTTGTGTCTTTTTTGACCCACAGAATATTTTCTAAATGAACGATGACACATCAAAATCTTGGTAAACAATGACCCTTAACGTTGGCCTCCTGTCTGTTTCAGTGGCGGACCCGGGCGAATTCTACAAAGGCTTCTATGGGTACAGTGGCACACGTCGCTTCGAGGAGAAATCGAGCCGTCGTTTGGTAGGTGTCATTTAACCCCCTAATTATCATATATATCCTATGTTTAATTATTTATCTAATATAATTAACTAATACATTTATTCAAAATAGTTATCATCATTCATATTGCATTATTTAATCTTTTTTTAATCTTATTAAAATTCTCAAAGCTTTCATTGAGTTGAAATTTTTCCTTTTTTTTTTTATGCACTATTATTAAACAAATAACTTCTTTAATCTTCATTAATACATATAGATTTCTATGGTAGCTTAAGGTGCCACTGTACCCATGGTATACTACTCTCACTCTTCAAGTCATACTTGGTATTATTTAATTAATCTCTATAAAAAATTTTTTATTTCACCAATAAATTATAAATTCTTTAGCATTTTTTTTTTTTTTTAATTAAACGAATCAGTTGAAATTAATTATTATTTATTTCAGTGACTTAACGAGTGAGAGGTTTTCCCATCAATTTAATTTTTTTTTATCAAAATTCACTTTTAAGGGTGGATAAAAATATTGTATAATAATTTGGATTTTTTTTTTTCTTTTTATGTATGTGTATGCATATATTATATAGTCAGCATCGAAGCGAGTTGGTCTATGTTGCAGTAATTGCCAAACACATGTAACATCTTTATGGCGTAGAAACTCCAGTGGAGATCCAGTATGCAACGCTTGTGGACTTTATTTCAAACTTCATGGAGTCTGCAGACCATTGGCTATGAAAAAGGATAATATTCAGACTCGTAAACGAAAGCCAAAGGGTACTATGAAATCCAGTAGTGTGGATTGTACCATGAGAATATCAATAGAAGATCATTCTATTAATAATAATAACAATAACAATAACAATAGTCATCCTGCCAAACGTCTAAAATTAGATCCAGGTAAATGATTTTTTGATGAGATATTCATTTGTTAATATTCAAAAATTTCTAACAGAATTATTCTCTATTTTAGATGCTTATGGAGATCTAGGAATAAACCATCAGAATACATCACAGTCAACATATTCACATTCAATCTACAGCGCAAATTCACAAGGTACTGGTCGGGTAATTTCCTATCAACCTGCAATACAAGTAGGATATTATGAAATGATGGAATCACATCAGCAGCAACAACAGCAACAGCAACAGCAGCAACATCAAGAATTACTAGATTGTCATTCACCTAAAGTAGAATGTTCTTCACCATCAAATCGTGGTTCTCCTGCTTTATTATCAGCTAATCATTCACCAGATCATCATTTGACAACTCCTCATATCGTAACCTTAGGAAATTCATCTCCAACTACAACTAATAATAAATTGATGCTTGACAATAGTCATTTAGAAAGACCTACTGTCGTATCAATATCTTCTTAAAGTTTCCAGAATTATGTTTATTGTTTAAGAAAAATTTTTTAATTGGCTTGAGAAGTCGAAATTTTTTTTTCATTTTTTATAAGAAATTTTAAAATTTTATGTAGATTTAATGATAAAAATATTTTTCGCTGCTATTGATAGCAGCATAGGTTGTGATTGTAAAAAATGACCTCGTGTAAAAATTGAGATGAACATTTTTATGAATTAAACACAATCAGCAATCTTCCTTCGATTTAATCATATAAAATATATTCATATATATTTTTTTTATAATAATAATAATAATAATATGGCATATTATTTCTAGATGTATATACTTTTGTCCTATGAGGAAAGTAAAAAAAAAAAAAGTAAATAAATATTAAAATTAAGCTAAAATTAAAATTTCTATTGTGTAATATAAATATTCAAGTGAATCAAATTGAGTTCATATCTCATTATATTCATCTATTTCGATATTACTATGTAAAGTTTATATCAATTTTATTTTAATTCCTTTTTAATATTTTCATGAGTTATTATATTTTGATTTTATTATTTTCTATTTCACCAAAGAGGATATGGGAATAGTTATGAATTACGATTTTAATATTGTACAATTTTAATATTAAATTATTGTTAACATGACCACTATATTATTTTGAACATTATCGCTACTGTTACACGCACTTATATCTATAAAAATTTATTCATACATAAATATCCAAACATATAATAAATATGTAATACATAAAATACGATTAAAAAATGCCAAATAAAAAAAAATCTATTTTTCAATGTGTTTAGTTTTTCTTGTCTTTGTTTACTAGAATCAGATTTGTATAAATTATATCAATTATTATTATTATCAGAGTAAATAATTAATATTTAATTAATGTAAGTTATTATGATATATATATATAATAAATAAAATTTTACTCTTCTGTATTTGTTTCAATCAGTTTTTTGTATTTATAAAATATATAATTGTTTCATTAAATATTAATACGCAATATTGAAGTTTGTAACTGAGAATACAGGTGATACAATAGAAAGAAAGGTAATAAACTTCGCAGTAATATATTTTTTATTCTTTTTTTTTGTGATGCGTGATATCAAAGGTCTTTATCAGTTAAATCTCATCGTCATGTGTATTTTGTAGTCATGACAACAATTGTACTTGATAAGAAATATTTAACTTATAAGAGAAATTAGGATTTACATCTTACAAAATACTTTAAAAAATAATTGTAATTAATAATTTTTTTTTTTTTATATAAAATAATAATAGTAATTAAATTAATTACTAATGTATTATAATTCATTCACATACTTTGTTCATTATCTTGAAAAAAAATTCATACCAACTGTTAGTTTTGTGTGAATTTCGTGAATTTTAATATTTAAAATGACTATGAGTTGGTTATTATCACTGATAGTAAATATTTAAATAAATTGTTTCTATTGTATTTTCATAATTTGTTAAAAAAGTTTTTATAAAATTAAAGTGGAAGATTTATATTGAATATATATATATATATATATAGAATCTGTTTACTACATTTGATTGTACAGATTAATTTACACAATCACTGAAACTTATGTTAAACAGCATAATTTTAAATATTCGCTTTCTACAAAAAGTCTATTTTTAAATTTATAAAATTACTCAATTTGGCAATCGAATTTTTTTATTTGGATTAAGTCATGCTCTTAAGATATGAGGCACATCGTACACATCAATAAAATAATTTTAATTCTTATGGTATTGACAGTGAGAATAATAAAAAATTATGGAGTAAAATAAGTTAAGCTTTTGTTGATTGATCTTCAATTAAACTGTCTGATAAAATAAATTCATGTTGTAAGACAGACATTTCTTCATTTAAAATTAAAAGCTACAAATTTTCATGGTGGTTATTAAAAACATATTTTCATATGTTAATGAGCATTCGATTTGAATTCTTTTCTAAAAAAAAAAAAAGTAATCACCAATGAATTTCCGAGAAGCATATATCTATATATATATATATTAAAATATTTTCTATTGTATTTTATTTTATCTAGCAACACATACCATAATATTTCTTATATACGTTTATAAAAAAAATAATTTCATTAATCCGAGATAAAAATGATTGATAAATCAATTATTTAGCTTCCAATGTTTTAATTAAAAAATATCTTTAATCATAGTTATTATTTTCTTTTTTTCTCTGAGATGATTAATTGATATAAAGAGTAAAAAAAAAAAAATCACCGGATATAATGATAAAATCCAAATCCTAAATAGAACAAAATAAAAAGATGGTATGACTTTAGACGATGTGTATAAAATATTTCGACATAATTACATAAAATAAAAATGAATAATACGTACTTATACGAACTATACAAGGCACATACACTGAAATAGCGAGTAAATATTTGACAGTCTCGCGGGTTAAATTGTAATGTTATGTTCATATGCTCGCTACCAGGAGGCAGTGTCTACGTTTTATTAACACCTTGGATCACACCTGTGTCAAGTAGGCATCGCAGGCGCAACATATTACAAACACACTGAAAACCCTGCCACAGACTCTTGAACTGACTACGAAGTATTAAAAGTTTTTACCGAGCTAAATTGTGTTGAATCTTCGAGTTTTTAATTATTTTTTCGTTTAATAATAATCATTATTATTATTATAATTAGTACAATAATCATTATCCCTATCATAATCATCATAATTAGCATAAACATTGTTGTTATTATTATTGTTTCTGTTATTATCGTAATCGTTTCAATTGTGTTGTTGTTTATACAATAAATTTAACGTTAAAATATTTGAATATTTCTAATCTTCTCAAGTACTCAGGTAAGCCCAAATTATAAATTCAATAAAAAAACAACCTGATTTTTTTTTTTTTTAAATATCATCAATTTAATTAATCGGTATGATTAACATGCAGATTTTTTTTTTTTTAATTCATTAACTTAACAGATATTCATTGATGTAAAAATTAATTGAAAATATTTCATTGAATGTATTAAAAATATTTGAAATAATTTCTTAGCCAGTACAAAAGAGATATTTATTGAAGAAAAATTCATTCTTTAGCCGAAATAAATTGAGAATGGAGCTTTTGAATTTTAGTAGGTCAATTGAATATTTATATTTATCTTTTTTGTTACTCTTATACTATTTTATAAGGCTGTGTTGCTCTGGCAAGCATTCTGAATCGTCCATATATTAAATAATACACACCGTTGGTTAAACCTGGTCTCAATAACGCGATCATTTCTAGAGGGGACAGACGAATTGCGTTCGCGGACAGACTGTTTGAAAAAATACTTCGACACACACTTTTTTTTTGACTGCTTCTCTTAACTAAATATTAATATGATTGCCTGGTATATTAAAGTAAACTTTGTCTTCACATGTACTTTTTAAGTTTAAAATCTATGTTGATCTTTTCACTTTTATACACTGTAATATTATTATATTTATAACATTTACACATTCATTATCAACTGTATTGATATTAATAATTTATTTTATATTGATATATTTATTAATTTTCATTTAGATACTTTAGAACAAGAAACTTGACATTTCAGATATACGTCTGAATTAAAACTATCCGTCGACCAGAGACGAGATCGCCTTTATTCAGATAATATTTTATTAATCATTAAACACATAACCGTTGCTGTTCATATAAGATAATAAAGAATAATATCAGGTAATAGCGATAATAATGTTTGTTATGCATTAATTATTGATTCAATCATCATCAGCTTTATTAGTTGGTGTACTGACATTCATTTTATTTAATTTACACAAAATAAATTATTTTCGCCTAGTTTCTAGAATATTATCAATCAATTAATTGCATAAGTCTCTGAAAATAACTCTTAATTATAACGAGAAAATCAACTGGGGGGCAATGTAGAACTGTTGCGTCGAATTTCACAATCTTTCAAGACTTGTCACCAATTTTTATATAATCATTTTTTTGAAATTTATATTTTTATCTATTTTAAGCTTCTTCCTCTTCTCGAAGCAACATAAGTATATTATAAATCGTATAAATTTTAAAAGACTAGGGATAGAGCACTTTTAAAATGCTTTTTGTGGGGAAAGAAAATTTTTTACTCCAAAAAAGATTTATTCTTGAATGAGAAGCAGTGCTTGATTGTAATACGAGTAAAAATTATGATTAATAGTTAAAGATATTTTTTTTTTATAAATGTTATGCTTCAAGGTGTGATTCTTGTAGATAATACTTACAACATTATTAGTACACTATCTTATACTATGAATTGTAGAGCTATATAATAATGTACATATATCTAAATCCTACTATTGTTAAATTTGCGTCATTTTTAAATTAAAACTATACAAGAGAGATTAAAGAATAAACGTGAAAGAAGAAGAAGAAGAAAATAAAAAAAATGAAATAAATAGGAAAATTCATGTACATTAATTGATTTATATCGAATTAGTTATTGATTGATTAAATGATAAAATCAGTTATCGTCATGATTATAAGAAAATTTCAAAGAATCAACACAATTCTTGGACTTCAGCCCTACATTGACAAACAAACATGATCAAAAATGTAAAAAGTAAGGCAAAAATAATTGATGTATGATAACCGTAATGTTACAAGAATCGATTTACCGATATCTTTATCCACTTGAGGTTTGATTTTAAAAATACGTGAGCAAAAAAAGAAAGAGATAGAATAAAGAGTAAATTACGTAGAACAAAAGAATCATAAAAAAAGACAAAAGATCAACTGAAATTAAGTGTCTACGTGAAACATATTTGCTGTCAACTTTTGATAAGATGACTTCTGATGATAAAATGGCGGATAAATCTAGCGATGACGCAAACATTCCTTCAATTTTATATATCCTTGATAATCCCTTAATTAAATTTTTTTTTTTTTTCTAAAAAAAAGAACTAAAAATTCTCGTAATAATTATTTGAAACAATAACTGTTGATTTTTAATTCTCCTTCATCACAATTTATTTAAAATCAATTTTTAATTACATAATATTCTTCATATCACTCATTTACTATTCTCAAATAATATTTTTTACAAAATAATTAATTTTAATTAAAAAAAAAAAAATTATTGCAAACTTATTTTTGCACATCAATTGGCCATGTACACTGATAAATGTGTCAATAAAGGTACAAAAGTAATCACAAAACTTGAACAATATAAAATATTAATGAGAAAAATAGATAAAATAATTACTAATTAAAAGATTGTTTCATTAAAAAAGAAACAAATAAATATAGGTGTATAAAAAAAAATAATAACAAATGCTTATTAATATCCAAAAGGTTTCATAAAACATGAAAACTCTTCTGACCGTTCTGTTTCGACTGAAATTATCATTTTAGCTGATACTTTGGAAATGTAATGATGCAGTTTTATCTTGTATTATCATGGGAAACGAGATAAATGCGATAGTGTCGTTTATATTTTGACAACAAACTCTCCCGACCTATCATTGGCGCCTATTAGCTGGTATCAGCCCTCATATCTCATTTAAGACTCTTGCAACTGCTACATACATCATCTTGGAAAGAATAGTTACACTTTTATGAATCAATCTTTTAAATCACAGTACACAATAAGAAACATCAAAAAATAAATATACCTTCAAGTAATATTTGTCTTGACACATTTGTTATTTATCAGTGCAATGCTAGAAGAGTGTAAGTCATTGAAAGACTTCTGGTAAACTTGAAATTTTTTTTCATAGATGCAATGGATGTGACATGTAGAGATGTAGAGAGACAGAATTGAACAAAAAAAAAAAGAAGTGGCCACATGTTTGTAAAAAACCTAAAAATTTATACTAGAGGGGTGATGATAAACGATGGCCGCAAACGATGCAAGACTCAGAAAATGCTTTTCAGCTATAAAGTGTTATCTTTTTTAACGCCGTTTGGCTTGCAACCTTATCATCGTGCAAATAAACGACCCCTCTGCGTACCTATAGCGTTCAACAGTGCGTCAATCATGAGAGAGATTTGAACAATTTTATTTAATTTATGTGTTTTGTACTATTTTTATCTTCATTTTCCTGAAACATTATTTATATTAATTATATTGATCAACAATGTCTACCTAAAACTCAAACAAATCATCAATAACTTCAAGACTTGAAAATTCAATTAAAATTATTCAGACCTTTAATTAGAAGGTGTCCATCAATGACAGAGTAATTACTATATGAGTAAGTAGAGTCTGAAAGAAAAAATGAAATAAAAAGTGTCTATTTGATTTTTGTGATGGTAGGGATAAAAGATATTGTTGTATATAGAGTTTATGTAGAAAATGATATATGCGAACTGACCAATAAGAGTAGTGGAGAGGCGTGATCCAATGAGCTTTGTTACCTCTTTAGCTCCCGTTCGACCATTCATCCTTACTCGTTTTCTATCTTTTTCCATTCACTTTTGTATTCTATCTCGCTGATGTACTGGGCAAACTCGCATGGGTTAGAGTCTAAATCTAAAAGTGTGTATTGTATATGTAACAAGCCAAGAAGACCAGGGGAGAAGGGAGAAGTGTCGTAGACACGCGCGACCACCACTTCTACTTCAATATTTCTCTCTTACCTTTATCGTTTATTTCAAGCTCTTCAGGTTTTTACTCAGTTCTCATTTGATCGTTGAACGTTGTAGTGACATACCGTTGGTTTCAACAAGTGATCACTAGTTATATCCATTTCCAGTTAAATAAACTTTAATAAATGTTTTTATTTATTGTAAAATAACAAAATAATTATAATAATTATTGTTTTTTTTTTTTTAATTACTCTATTTATTTCTGCATTACTCGTAATTACGTTTAAAGTATTAGTTTCAATTAACTTCAATGAGGCACATAACGGAGGTATTGAAATATAAATTTATTAGTATTATTCAATAATAATAAATGAAAATAAATATCAAAGTGTTGGCTATGATTTATGATAAATATTCAACCTATTTTTTTGTAAATTTAAAGTCAGTTTATTTGTCGTTGTATAAAATATCATAACACACAGGTGGAATATATCAATTGGCAATTAGTTATGGAGAAAATTAATAAATATAAGTCGAGTAACTTAAAAATTATAGAGTGTACCGGAAATCTTGGTTTGACATGGTTTAACGGAAGTGACGCGCTTTTGTAAACATTAGAGGTCTTGAACAATTTTTTTTGACCGACAAGGTGTGTCGTCATACTATGGACATACAACTGATGTGTCTGCTGTATTTTATGTGTACACTATAATGTTGCGTGTCTTCGAAAATTATGACTAATATACTTGGGATCTTAAAGTCTTATGCAGGCCTCAATATGACAAAAATTCAACATTTTTTTGTGTCAATAATCTAAATAAAACTATAATTTATTTCAATAAGAATACTTTTTTATAATTTACTTTTATTTTATTCTATAATTTTAAAGATATTAAGGTTTAAAATTAATTTTTTAAATTGATTAAAATGTTGTAGGATACAATGAAAGAAAATATTATAAAACAAGAAATAAAAACTGATTGGGAGACTCATCAACCAGAAGAGTCATCACCTCAAGTAGCAAGAACTGCAGAGGAACAAACCAATGGAGAGAGTCCACAAAGTGTTATAACAACAAGAAGACACGTAAGAACAATCACAACAACTGGACATATTACCGAAACAATTCCAGAGGATTCAGAATCACCGGCATCAAGTCCAGAAGAAAAAAATAAACTTATGCAACACGTTGTTCAAGAGAGCCATCAAACACAACAAGAACAAAATTATCAAGACCATCAGCAATTTATTCATTTACATTCAGAAGAAGGTTCTCGAGATCAGAGTAACAATCAGCAAATAGTCTACACGCCCAACAATGGAGAAGAAATGCAGGTTGACACTTCGAACGAAGGACAGGCTATTACACTAGCTATTAAGGATCAGACTAAGTAAGTATTAGATATCCATTTAGTATTATTAAAGTTTCACGTAATAGCTATTTATTTAATGGTTAAAAGTAAACTTTGAAATAAATGGAAAGCCATAAAGAAAAAATTTTACTACTACTTTTTTCATTTGTTTATGTGTTTCTAATAGACATTATGGAATTGAAAAATTCTCTAGATTCCACAACACTGGTGAAAGAGCCGAAGTAGGAAGACTCTATGTGTACTCAGATAATAACGACCAAAAAAAAAGCCACATGATCCTTCAAGTACAAAGGATGTCTGATGATCCTAGGCGACATCACCATCATCATCACCATCAACAACAGCAACAAAGATTTAGTCCCCATGAAAATGGTCAAGTGAGGTACCAAGAGTCTCCGGCAACCTCTACCGAAGAATACGAATCCAATGCTATGGTTTCTCAAGCGGCCACAGTGCAATTAGGATCTCCTACATCCTTCTCGGCGCCAGTTGAGGTTATCAGAACCACTCAACATCAGCTAATCCCTTCAGGGTACTCTGAGGCCACCATTAAATATGACGTCGCTGCGGTTGCTGCAGCTTCAGACAATATTAAAGCTAGTAGTACTTATACAACTCTTGAAACTGTTGCTATTCCTCCAACCCAAACTGTTCAATATTCTCAATATTTACCTGATGGATTTCAACACACTACAAATTATACCTACGCTAAACCTGGAGATATTACTTATCTTAATTATTCTAGTGGACAGCCAAATTCTCGTGGAGCGGAAGTAAGTGTGAATGAATTTTTTTTGAAAATAATCTGATTATTAAGTTTCTTATTTAATAATTGTTTTGATAATTTTTTAAGATGGATACACCAGTTTTCATTAAAAGTGATCCAACTTTAACATCATCATCTTTGATCAGTGGAACTCGAACAGCGTCTCTCTATCATGAACCAGGTTCTCCAGGTTCTCAAGTAACAATGTATGGAGCTGGTGGAGCTGCATTTCAATATGTGAAACCAACTAGTGATACTTATTGGCAACCATCTAGTTCAGCATCACCACCAACTCTTGAATATGTCCAAAACTATTCTAGTGTTGCAACTATTTCAACAAGTGATTCATCTTCTATTATGTATAATGGAGCTGGTTATGTGACTCCAGCGAGTAATGGTTCACCCTCACCATGGACATTATCTGAAGAAGCTTTCGACGGGCAAATTATGTCTACAGAATCTAAGGAATGTGTCAATTGTGCCGGTAGCATGACTACCTTGTGGAGAAGAGATGGAAGTGGTAATTTTTTGTGCAATGCATGCAGATATTTCAAAAGCAGTGGTCCAAATCGATCAGCTGTAAGGTGTCATGGAAAAATCAAACAACCAATAGCTCCTGTAAGTTCAATTCCATATCATTCATTTAATAAAAATAATCTATAAAGATAACACATTAGTATTTTTAAAAATAATTACAAATAATTGAATAAAAGTTTTAATTAAAGACAAAGAAAATGGGTTGACTCCAAAATTTGTCCATCGTATAAATGAGGCCATCACAGGTATTTGTGCTGATAAGGGAACGCGTTGTGGACGCACGGGTTTTACCTCCGCAACGCTGTACATGATTTCGATATTAAGTAATGTTTGTACTCTTGAGAAGAGAACGTTTGTTATCTTAAAGCAGAGCAAATAACAAAGGTCGGGACGAAGCGGGTGTTGTTTGCTCTAGTTTACTTATACCTGAAGAAACCGCCCATTAGTTTTTTTTTCGGTTTGAGTTTACCCAACACCTTTATATAGAGTCTATAATTCTATATACTGAAGAGTGTAGTGTATACTACAGTCTCAAACCTTTAAAAAAGATATACATAGTTTAAATAAAACAATAAATAGAATAAACTTTGTCGGGGAAAGAAGAAAAAGAGGTGGATAATATAACAGGGAAGTTCAACAAATCTAAAAACAATGGTTTCCGGTTTCAAAAATAACAAAAAAAAATCCTTTATGACATCAATTCAGCGAGATAGTATATTGAACCAAAGAAAAATGAATGACTAACTCAAAATAATTTTATTTTTCAGAATGGAAGAAGAACTGGGATCCAATGTGCCAATTGTGGAACTAGCAACACAACACTTTGGAGGAGAAATAATAATGGTGAACCTGTTTGCAATGCTTGTGGACTTTATTTTAAACTTCACAATGTAAGTAAATGAATTAAAATAATGCCTAGCTCCAAAACTGTGCTGATTATATGAAGTCTAAAAATTTTCTGAAAAATTGGACTTTGTACGAATTTTAAGTTACTTTAAGTTTGCTTCTAACACCTCGTAATTTTATGTTGAGTACATATACGTTAGATATGGCGCTTATATTTTAGAAGAGAAACTTGGTAGAAAAAATGAGTCACAAAGTTAAACTGAAATATTTCATATTATATACCATTAAGAATTTTTTATCCATTCAAAGCTCTAATAAAAACTTCTGACTTTTTAAAAAGTAGATTGATTGATAAAAAGATCTTAAAAATAATCAGCTTATTATCATTTTACTCTCTTCTGTATGATAACATATTGTATATATTATATAAATTTGTATACTAAATATTTCTCTTAAATTATTTCTCATCAGTGTCATCTGATTATATAAAATCTTTATTTAATTTTAGCAATATTTTATATTAAATTATATTTGCAGGTCAATAGGCCAATGAGTATGAAGAAAGAGGGAATTCAGACACGAAAAAGGAAACCAAAGAATCATTCAACAGCAATAACAGGAGTATTAACAGGACAATCAAATGTTATTCCCAAGACCGAGATCAAGTCCAACTTACTCGGTGAGTCTTCGGTGAGCAACAAGACTCTTATTTTTTTTTATCAATTCAATTTTTTCCGATCCATGATGATCCACTTGTTGGATAAGATAAGCCTCTTCGTTCTTTATATTGGAATTTTTTATTTTTTCCTTTAATTGTGCAAGCTTGACAAATGCAAACATTTATATACAATAATCAATCTATTGTTGATGATTTTGCGTTGTAAATACGTATTTATATGTATTGTACATGAACTAATACACATAAATGATCTGACATGTGAAAATGATGACTTGCAAAGATTTTATATGGGATTGGTGATAGAATTCAGATCAAAAAATCGAAAAAAATTGAACTGTACTCTACTGTTTATTTAATTTAAGTAATGTATATTAAAGCAAAGACTACTTGCATTTAGAAGATAAAATAAAAGTAATTTTTCATAGAATGTTTGGATTTATGGTAGCATAATTCAGATATTTTAATTATCTATATTATTCCATTACAGTGGACTCAAAGTTGCAATTAAATGTTCACTCAAGTGCAGGTGGGGTTGATGATGGAAGGGCTGAAGAAGATCATTACTTAAATACACTTACATCTACACAATTGGGCCATGCTCATTCACCAATTGCATTACCCTCTGCTGCTGTATTAAATCGACAAACAACTCTAACGTAAGTTTCATCCTGAAAATTATAATAAGTTTCACATTAAACAAGTCTATTTAATCGCTTAATTACTCTATTCCTATGCAATTTAATACTTACATACCTAGTGATAATGATGTCCCTTTAAAATTTAAATACACGTGATAAATTTCTTGTCCTCATTTTAGAAAAGTACATTTTTCAATTCACTTTACTTTCTAATGTTATTTCCATTAGTTACGATCACATTAAAAAGTAATTTTCCAATTGTTTACAGTGTGCCTCCATTAGAACCAATAACGAATAAGTCAACAACAGATTTGACAGTAATCAATCAACTAAACTGCAATGACAAACATCTATAGATCATAAATTTTCAGTTGGTAACTTACCTACATAAATTTTCTTCCTTATTAACTGTTTCTCTCTTGTTATTACCAACAGTAGGTGTGATAAAATTGAATGCGTTTCCGTCATTACCGACCGATATAGTAGACTTGAAATAATTTGAAACTATTAAAATATTAATTTTAAATAATATATTTAAAAAAATGAATAAATCAAGTGTCATATTAATGCCTTAAAATTATTTCTAATATAATTTTAAGACATTAACAGCAATCTAAAGAGTTATATTAGAATATTATTAGATTCTTTTTTTACATGCATTCGATAAAGAGATTTTTATTCATTAAATTGTATATATGAATTTTATACGTTGCCCAAAGATTAATACTTTAGATGTAAGTTTTAAAATTATATACATAAATTTAATTTTATGCATAATTTAATTGCCAAGAGATACGTAAAATAATGATTAATGAATAAATCTATAATTTCTGTTATTATGTATATGTATGTAATGTTAAAATGAGAATTAATGAAAAAAAAAAAAATATTGTAATGAGATTATTTTCTCAATGATAGAAAAGAAAAATGTGAAAATACATCTTAATGTTGATAAAATATTGTGTAAATATAAATCACACTTTCTAATAGGATATTTATCAACGTTTTGTCCAGCAAAGTGTATTACCTGATAATTTAATTCTACTAACTAAATATGGATTATACAACAATAATTAAATTATAATCAATTATTTGTATATTTTTATTCGTATAATAATTATTAAATAAATTATCAATTTTTTTTTTTTTTGAATAGAAATATCAATAAAAATTTGTATTTTCTTGTCACTTCACATGTAATTACTAAATATAAGTATTTAGATGTTTTTTCATTACTTAATAGATGATTTTAAAAGTACATATATACTTGAATAATATGTTGAATAATTATAGAGTAATAAATTAAAATGAATATAAAATAAAAGCAAAAAGAAATGAGAAATCCAAGCTGCGGTCTTTTGATACGGCAGAAGGGGTAAGAAGCGTTGGAATAAGGGCGGTAGAGAGGAAAGAGGAAACTCCATCAGCCTAAAAGAGTTGACTATCGGTACCGGCTTGAAGCTCGCTAAGGGCTATTCCATGTTAGTCGGTCTCACTGCCAATTTTTTTTTCTCTCAGCCTTTTTCTTACGGCGCATACTTGGCGCCGCCCTCTTACCATTAACTCTCTCTTCCTCACACTTATTTTCTTTTGATAATTCCTCACGATCCTCTTCGTTCTCAGGTTCTATGTGTGGTTTTATAATGTATCCTTACTGTGTGTATAATTTATCGCTTGGTGCAAAGAGATATACTCTTCGGACAATGTCGGACGAAAAATGATAATTGTCTTGAAGAGAACACCTATGGTATCCACGGCATTTGTTATACGATGCAGATTTTTATTGCTCCATTTGATAAATTTGTCAATAAGATTAACTAATATATACCTTTTTTTTTCTTGGTTTAAAAAAAAAATCTCGATTATTTTTTGGATTATTTATGAGAGTAAAGTTGGTTTTAATTTCCCTCATTATGAGATGGAAAAAAATTTTTTTTAATTAAAAAAAAAAAAGAATTGTTTAAAATATAAAACCTAATATAGAATCGATAGAAGTATATAAAATGTATATAAGAGAAAGGAATTAAAAGAAGAGCTGGCGCCAACATTCTGGCCCTGAAAAAGCATGTTGTTATTCAGGAATTTCAAAATGTCTTCTTCATGATTGTATGTATATAATGTTATTGGTATTTATGATTTTGTTAAAATATGATTTTGCGGTTTAGTTAAACATCAACAGTCATTTTAGGTAATTCTGTGAAAATTTTGATGTATACATATGATAAAATTGCTTATGAAAATACATGACAGACGTCATCTTCTTGTAGTTGAATGTTAAATATAAAAAATAATTTAATTTATTGATTCACTTCTGTATTAACTTATCAAGTGGTAGTTTTAAGTAAAATATTATCTATCAAAAAGAAAATAGTTTCCATGATTTTGCATTACATAAATAAAATGTTGCATGAACAATTTACGTAACATAAATCATTTGTTATCTAAACTAGTTTAATGAGATTTTTTATTTTATTTATTTCTCCATTTTATTTTTTTGCAAAAATATATATTCACACTAGTCTGAAATTTGTTTTAGTCTCTATTTTCTTTGTTCTATAGTCTTATGTCTCGCCCACAGATTTGCGAATCTTTTGTATCAAAAGACTGCCTCAGTTTCCAGGAAGTCACGACGAACAACTCCACGCATGATTAGATTAGAATTGATTTTATTAACCAATTTTACTTTTTGATCCTGAGTATTTTTTATTTGTGTCTCTACCCTTTTTTTGCCAGCTTTCATACTGCAATTTTTTTTTCTTCCGCTTGACTAAGAGTAATTTCTTCAAAAGCTTTCACTGTAATCTTTGAAGACTCTTGAAGTGTCCATTTATTTTGAAGACAAAAAAGCAATCAAACCTGTAAAACAATTTTATTTTTTAATATCATTAATCTATTAATTTTAAACTACAATTAAACATTTATTGGTAAATAACATGTACTTATAGACTTGGAAAATATTACCAACACTTTGGATTCATCTTCAATCATTTAGAAAAATTAGCAACCAACATTTCATGATGATATCCTTTCTCTATGCTTGGTTATTTATCAACTAATTTCTAATTGTTGATAATTAACTGCTGAATTAATATTTATATTAACAGACTTGAAATACATAGTAATCATTTCTTCATGCTAATGTTTTCCATCGTGATTTGGTGCTATAAGGTTGATCTCCAAAGCTATCACCAACAACTCAGTAATAATAAAGTAATATTAACTAATAGCTAATTACAATTTACTATCACTTATAACTTTTGATTATAATTAATTATTTCTAACAACATTTAATTATTTTTTTTTCTTTCCACAACAGTGTTTGGATCAACAAAATATTTCCATCATTCATTCAGCCATAAAAGTTGCACTGAACACCCAAAAATGCTGACAATAATAAAAAATTGTTTTTTTCCTGAAGACTTTATGTATAACATCATTTCACCACCTTTCAGTAAATTTTCTCATGTGGAACTAAAATAATAAAATATTTTACCATTGACTCAGTATCTCTGTTCTCAAAAAACACATCTTTATAATAAGATAAAATCTGTAAACCGCAATATTAAAATTTTTAGTTCATGATCCATCTTCATCGGTTGTCATGCTCCTGCTACCGAATATAGCCACTTATTTCTTCTGGACGTTCTCACAGGAGGGATTTAATTAAAGTCGATGATCCGGTCTTAAATGATAGAAGGAGCAGAAAGGTGGGGGGGATATGTTGATAATAAACGATCAAGACAAAATGGGAATCACACTTTTCTAAGAAGTCTGTTCCTTGCATGTCGCTGTATATAGCTACCTTGATAATGTTTAACTTTAAAAAAAAAAAAAAAACTTGCACATATACTATTCCGATCTGTATCTCTTTTTAAACAGTGAATTGCATTCCATTTATTCTCTAATGGACTGTATATATACACATACACTCAGTTCCATTTTTTCTCATGACTTAAAGATAACCGAAAATATATGGATACTTTTGTGTGCATTAATATTGTAATTAGCAGCATCATTTTTTTGAGTAGGAACCATTTTTTGCGAAAAGTTTCGCTTGATTTTATTCAGACAAAATCTGCTGTATCAGCAGAAGTTTCATTGATATGATAAATTTAGAACATAAGATGATATAAATTCCTTTAGCATAATTTTTTGTCAGAGTATAAAGATGATTAATACAAATAAACTTAATTTTAATAATTAATAATAATGGTATATATTATAAATATATATATTTTTATAATAGTAGTTATTTATTAATGTTTAAAGGAGGTCTAAACGAGATTGTATCCTCACGATAATTTGGTAGTCGAGATCGTGTTCGGATAATAAACACGAATCTTTCGAAAGCACCCTCACAGCAGACAGCTCCATTACATTTGAGACCTTGAAGATCTCTATAATTTCTTTCTTTCTTATTTTTCTTCAAGACATTCTCAGACGTAAATGCTGAAACTACACTATTAGGAAATAACCATCGGAGATGATTTCCTTTTAGGAAATCTTACTCACTTCTCTGGAATTACTGAGGGTTTTCCGGTGATTTCTCTCTACATGTCTTGAAAATATTTTTCGAGTATACGACCAATGTTTTCTGTGGCGCCTAGTTCTTTCTTAGTGATTGTTTTTTTTTCTTTTTTTTCGAAATACCTTTAATGAATTCGGGATTAATTATGAGCTAAGTACATAAATTTATTTTATTTTTTTAAGGAAAATTATTTAAGAGAGAAAATCTGTTTCTTTAATCGCTCCGGAATTAAGTGAAGCGGCTGTAAACAAACATTAGTGATGTAATGAAATTTTCCTTGTGCTGTTTTAAAATTTTGTTTTATACAATATTTTGCAATTAATGTCAATAATTAAGGTATATAAAAATTAGTTGATAAATGTGATGAATTGTTTATATTACTTTACCATGAGTATTGTAAACAATAAAATTAACTTTATTGGAATTGTAAATAATGAATTTGTTATCATAACATTGCGAATCTCAGTGTTTTATTTCTATACACTAAAAGTGTTTTTGTATATTACGTTATCCGTTTGATAAACATTGCAGTGATTTTTGATGCATTTGAGAATTTTTCGTAATTTTTTACTAACTAAAAAAGTATTATATTTTCCCATTAAGAATTCGCCATTTTTTTAATTTATTTGCCGAATATTCACTGTAAATTTTAGCGTTTTATTTTAAACATTAAAAGTGTTTTAATATGACGTCACCCATTTGATTAACATTGTCTCGATTTTAAAACGTTTTTAAGTGTTTTAAAATAAAACACTAAAATTTACAGTGTCTTCAGTAAAAATTCAAGAGTTCAACATTCATAGCATTTATGTTTTGGCTTAATATTGACAATACGTCGTAGATTCTGATGAACAATGTGTTATTGAGAGAAAAAAAACATATAAAAAATAATAAAGTTTATTATATGAAATGTTAGATTCATATTTTGACCATTTAATATATTGAAAAAACATGAACAATGATTGCAAAAAAAAAATTTGTGTATGGAGTACCCTTTAACTTTTTGGAGTATCTTAATTTACCCCGTGTAATCCTATCCTTGTAAATTCAAGTGCATTCTTATTACACATCTAAACGCATTGAATACGACGTCACCCGTTTGATTAGCATTGTAGTTACTTTTTACACACTTAGAAACGCATTAAAAGTGAATACAATGTTGATCAAATAGGTGACGTCATATTTAATACGTTTAGATGTGTAATAAGAATGCACTTGGATTTGCAGTGATATTGTTCCAGTTTTCTTTGTTAAAATAAAACAGTTTTAAATGTGAGGTTTGTAGAAAGTTTATTAGAGTAATGTTTTTTTTTAAATTTTTATCATGAGCATTCTCATCATAATTTTCATCACTGCAATCCTATTGCAAGTTAAAATCTCCATCTTTAAAATCAATACTTCTCATTGATACATAGGGAATTGTTCTCTAAAACTGTCTTAAGTTAAATCAATAATTATTTATTAATTTCGAACTCCAATCCAACTACCCTAACAGGAAACAAAAATGGCTTACTCTTGGTTCAACATTAAACCAAGCTTTTCAATGTGGATACTATGATGTACCAATCTTGCTGTCTACTAGGATATTAATATTAAAAATTAAGAGAAAATAGACGATAATTTCAATGAATTACTTCTTAAATAGTTTGATTTAAACTCAACATCAATGAATATTTACCTGTCTGTTCGAAAAAAATATTTAAAAGGATTCTTTCATCATAAAATCCACAACTTTAAATTCAACAACACAAACACAGTTTACATTTAATACTTTCTTATAAAAAATTATTTAAACCCTTTTTATATTTTATATTAAATAATTTTCATCTAAAGTGCTCAATAAAGTCAATTACTATCAATTTAAAAGTAAAAAAATGATTGTAAAAATATTTAAATAATAGCTAGAAGTCATTTTAAACAACATAAAATGCACGTTATTTTTTTCTTTTCATTTGTTCTCTATTTTTTGTAGAGGCTACTCCATACGGATTTATGACTCCGGTTGATTTAACATGGTTGAAACAAAGAGCAGAGACAAAAATTAAGAAAGTATAGGTATCTTTGCTTTTATCTTATAGCTGCACCATCCTGGTAAACTGTAATAGTAAAATCTTTAGGCAATTCGACTCTCAAGATAGCTATCTCTAATAACTAAAATCTATTTTACCTGAAATACTTTTCTGTCTAGTCGAGAGGGTACATAGTAGAAATTCTTCCTTTGAAATAGATGCTTTTTGCAGGTGATTTTTTTTTTCTTTTTTCAAGTAACTAAGTGGTTTTAAAATGCAACAAAAACTTAAAATTTATATTATCTTATTAAAAAAATTTTCAGTTCAATGTGTACATAAAAATTTAGTGTTGCAAATATCTTTTACTAAGAAACTGTAATTAGTAACAAACTTTCCCGAACTCTTGGTTGAAATGAGGTGAAAAATTCCCAGTCTCTTTGAGGATTTGTTTCTTAATGAGTATCCCTAGTGTCACTAACGAAGACTGTCAATAGACTACTTGAAAAACCTTTTAGTGACTTTAAGTGTGAAATTGATTCAATGATCAATTTGTTCAAGAATGACCAATGTTAAAAGAAAATTTCGTAAAAATTACACAATTCCTGACTCATATTGTTTTTCTATGCAAAGACTTGAAGAACTTTATAAAAAAAAAGAAAAAAACTCAGGTAGACATGTAAAGGCTGTAAAAGTATTTTAGAAAAATCGTAGAGTCTAGACACATAAGATGGTTGAAAATCAACTTTTGTCTTAAGGTAGAAAAAATTTCAACCTAATATTAAAATTTTTTATTACCTGTAAAATCATCTTCTTGCAAAAGACGTTATCGCAAAAGATCATAGCATCCTTTGCAATGAGCATCAATTTATTTATTACTCCTCATAAATTTACTCAGACCCTAGGAAAGGGTTAGAAGCTTCTAATTCGTTCAACCAAGTTGTAAGATAAATATTTAATACAAAAAATATTTAAAAATCATTTTAATCAACAAATTCAAGCTCATAATACCTAAGTCGTTTTTTCAAGTCAAATAAATATTAACCAACTAATTAAATAAAATTTAGGAGCAACTGTCGTGTGTGATGGAGGAAAAAGTAGAGGAAAATAATAAAAATAGAAATAAAAAAAATAATAATAAAATAAATTTTATTGTAATGTTTGTTGGCTTTATCGCATTGGTGAATCTCGTTGGACATAATGTAGCCAAAGGGTTTTCGTGCTTATGGGGTATAAGTGATTTTATTTCACAAAAATACATATGTATATCTATATATATATAATGGGCGTGACTGTTGCTGAGGGAATTCGTGAGGGAATTAAAATACACCTAGATTCTTACAGCAAACCAGAAGGATCTTGATGCTGATGTAGGCGCTCGATGCTCCGCCTCTTGATTGTTCGCGACTAAACGACAGAGGGAACGCCTGTTTATATACATCTTAAGGTATAGGATAGTATCGAGAAATCCCCTTCTACTTGAATTTAAATTTTTTTCTTTCCACCACTTCAACTAGAGCGCTACCAAGTTCTCCTCCTCTGGTAAAAGGTGAGTGTCCAGGACAGTTTGAGAAGCGCAGTCATCGACTGCACTACGTTGTCTTACGGATACTACTAGTGTGTTTTTAATTCATCTTTTTAGACATTTTTATTCAGTTGCATCCATCTAATCACCTTTTTATTATCAGTTAGTTATTTATTTATGTCTACAAATATTCATTCAAAATAACAGTGCTCTATTTTCACTACTAATCAACATCAAAGTCTGCTCCGGTCCTCCAATTGACATATTTGTTGATGTCTACGAAGATCAGTGAATTTGAAGTGCCTTTAATTTAAATAATTGACACTATTAATTGTGCTAAAGAGACATGAACTTGTGCAAAAAAATTAATTAGTGGGTTACAAAGAGTGCTATTTTTTTTTCTTTTTTTTTGGAGTCAAATAAACAATACTTCAATATTTTCTGTTGGAAAATAATTCCTGCAGTCTTTTTGTTAATTAATTAATATATATAATAACTTTTGTATGTATTAAATAAGATATATAAATAGACTAGGCAGCGAATATTATTAACAGAGTGGACTTTTAATAACTGATCGCAGAAATTAATTATAGTATTTTTTTTACGTGCTCAGTTTCTTATTCATATTGATTATTATAATTTATACACACTACTTCGAATAAAAACTTCATTGCGGCTTTTTGTATATATTACTCTTGAAGAAGATGAAAGTATTTGACTGATTGAAAGTAAGTATTTCCAACCTATTTATTATTTATCTTTCAAAGTAGAATTTATTTTCAAGCCTCTCCCTTTTAGAGCTTTCTATTAAATAAAATTCAATTAATTGCTAAAATTATTTTCAATTGTTAATATTAATATTATTAGCAGTTGATATTTTTTATGACAATACCGGCAGCCATTGTTACGCATGTTTCTTCGTTTTGATGACTTAGATTTTGATTTTAAAGATTATTTCCTTTTATTGAACCCATGAATTAATTTTTAAGACACTTCTTTCCTGTCTAGGGTTTTTTTTTAATCCTAAAATATTGTATACTTTATTTATATATATATATATATATATGTATATATATTTATTGTGTAGGCTTGCTGATATGATAAAATTGAATCATTGTTGTGAAATTATACATATGTTCTTATTCATTTTTCTTTTACTACATACTATATCATGTAGAGTGAAACAATAATACAATATTATCTCCACGTTTTATATTAAGTTTCTTATTTTAGTTTATTTGTGCACCTATTTGTTTACATATTTTACGATGCTCTAACACCTACAAGAAGACTGATTGTTTGAATTTTTACAACAAAGGTTCATTGAAAAAATATTGTTCTAATTTTTCTGCCAGTAAATTTGCCATTTGTTTGAAATGACAATAAATAAATGGTTTTAAAGTCATTTAGAATATTTTATGCGGGTGTTCTATTACTACATACATTTCGTTTTTCCGTCTTGTATAATCGTTTTAACACAATACGTCTAATCAACTGAGGGCGGAAATTGAACAATCAGTGAAACATAGAGATAATTTTATCGCATTAATGATTGATAATATTCCATTACCATCATATATTACCTTCTCACATGTCATTTTACATTTTTAAAACCGAAAGTTGGATTTCATATAAGTAGCAAATGAAGGATAACATTGTTGATAAATTAGTTTTTTAATAATAATTATTTTTTCCACATCAAGATTGAAGATAAATTAATTTATTACATGTTTTATTTTATATAAAATGTAATGAACAATTATTTGTATTTTTTTTTTTACAACACATGAGTAAATATTTTTATATCTAAATATTTATTGGACAATAAAATTGGCGGTAAATACGATTTATTACTCCAATAAATTAATTTATGATCAATAAAAATATTTTCAACTCAAAATAAATACTTGAAAAATGATGTTTAAAAGAGGTTTTTTTATATAAATAAATAATTAGATAAAAATTAATTAAATTTTATAAAAAAATTCAGGGGTTAAATTTCGACTACAAAATCTATTTTAGTATAAACATATATACTTCAGCATTGTTAAAAAAAATACACGAATAGAAAAAAAAATAAACAATATCAGGGAGAGAAGATTGGAGGCAATCTTCTTAGCCTATTTTAATGATTCCTATCACACATGACTTATTTAGAGATTAAAATAAATATCAACTGGAGAAGAGATTTTTCTAAAAGGCTCTATAAGTTATTTATGAATTTTTTTCGGTTATAAACAATGGGTATTTAAAAATTTTTTTTTTACACAAATTGAAGGACAAGTAGCATAATATATATCGGAAGACACTTAAGAGCTGTATAAGTTGAGAACGATTGATGTGATTGGAAGCCTAGCTGAACCGGCGATGTGAAAGCCACCTTGAAAGTTTTTAGGCCTAATTAGTTGTCGCCCGTCGTCACTGACGGTCAAATCTTTCCGCCCTCTGATTTTTATTTTGTTTTATTACCTTTTTTTCTCATTTATTTCTCATTCGATCATTCCATGAGTCACTTTAGATCTCAATCTTTTGTCCCATCTCGCATAGATATAATTAGTTGAATCAAATATTTATGAGATATTTTATACTTTCCAATATATATAAACATTTCATTCAGAAGACTAAATAATTGCTTTTTTAAGTCAACTTGAAAAGCAAAGGTGGTTAAAATATAACTGAATAAAAAGATTGAAAAATGAAAATGAGTAAAAAATAAATAAATGTGACGAAAAAAAAAAAAAAATGTAGATGTTAAATTTCTGAGTGGTCTCAGCACGACTAAATTGGTTAGAATGAAAGTAAATTAATGGAGGGTCGCGTGTCCGACGGAAACTAGTGGAATGATGACGCGAATTCTACCGCCGGCTCGATCTTTTGCCAGTGACACGAACATGTCCTACAAGAGAGACTTAAAAAGTCGATGGAGATTCGACTATTAAAACACTAAGAGTAATTTTATAGATATTTTTTACTTTTACATTTTCTTCTGTTTCTCGCTGGTTTTTTTTTTTTTTACTAGGGTAGCTGCAAAAAAAGATGCTTACTCGATTGATCCACTGAATAGTCATCAATTAAGTTATTTAAATAATCTGTTTAAAGTGAAATAAAAATAATATTTTCGCCAACATTTTTATCATAATTTTCAAAATCTATCCTACCATTAATCTTATCGGATATGCTTGAAATTACTTGCCAATAAGTTTCACTGATAAGAATGTTAAAAATTTTTCAAAAACATTGTCAACTGAACTGATGTTTAAACATGATGGTCGACAATTAAGATATTATTTCTGTTAAATAAATAATACTTAAGTCAATTATATAATGTCATTTGGCAGCATTTTTTTCTTTTAATGTAACAGAAAAATTAATTAATCTAGATAGATTTTGATTTAAAACAATTTTTAAATTTTCTAGTCCTTCAACTCCAAAAATAATCAACTGTTTCCCTTTAAATAATACATTTCAATGTCGTTGTTAATATTAAAATAATTTTTTATTAATTAAATATGAATAATTTTCTAGAGTGTTGAAAAATGATATAAGTAAATGTTACAAAATAAATTTCCATTCCCAAGTGTATTGTTGATCATGAGATACCACTTTCTTCTCATGAATCAACGACTATTGTTTAAAATCGACAAAAATTTCATCACCTCATGTTGCAGCCAACTTTTCTTTCCCCACAGTCATAAAAAATCCACGATAATTTAGTATATAATTTTTCCAATGTATGTTTTGTTTCAAGTTCATTGACTTTTATTATTATTTTTAATGAAATTCTTCTTGATTTAATTTTATTCAGTATTCATAATGTTTATTGTATGATGATATGTAAAAGCCCATGCGTACACCCTAAAGGTAACTGGCAGACTTACGTTGACAGTTATAACACACGTTGAAGCCATTTGCAAGATCGTTTAGCTGTGAGTCTTTTAAATAACATTGAATGCGAGTGTCGCATTAAGTGTTTCAGTATAAAGGTAAGAGATCAGAGCCGACGCGTGTAATTGTCGCAATTTATTTGATTCGCAAATTGAGAAAAATATTTATTTTTTTTTACTCCGGATAACTTGTTGGATTATTCTGAAGCTTACGAGCCCATACTACTGTTACATATTATATATACTCTTGAAACCTGTGGAGCTTGTTTTACCCTGATGAAAATGAGGGAAAATTTTTCTTCTAAAATCGAATCACCATTTTACTAAGTAACTAGAATTTGTAGAATTTTTCCATTAAAATCAATCGCAATAACATTCTTAAAATATTCCACTGACACTTAATGTTAATATATAAAAACAATTATTATTTTTTCTTTATTTAACAAAGTAAAATATTTAGAACATCAAATAAATAAATAATCGAGTGAGTCTAATGACTTAAAGTAACAGTGTAATGGAAACCAAAAGGTTTAATTGAGTAAAAGAGAAGAAAAAAAAAGGTAACTGGAGGCTTTTTAAAATTTCAAAGATTTAAAACATGAAATATAAGCACAAATAATGTCTCATGGACTTTTCGTATACCGGTTTGAAAGCGACGTCTCGACCTTTCTATTCCTGCTGTTTCTGTCTCTTTTTCACAGTCTCATAAATTATATCAACACCTCGAGGCCCCTCGTGGGTCTGGAAGCCGCGAGATGCGCCCACGTGAGTGTGCCCCGATATCCTTTCTGCATGTCTGATCTATGCTGTCCTCCTGACCATAGAACTCACAAATAACTACCTCTCACCTCTGTATCAATACTCGGGTAAATCTCTACATACATTTCTTTTAATGTATGTTACTTTTTTTGTTTTTGTTTCTCTCTCTCTCTCTCTTCGAAATTGTATTCAAACTATTACACTTTTACTACAAGACTTTAAATCCTTGTGTTAATAAAATCCAGATAAAAATCTTATTTGAAATACGAATAATGAGCTCATAGATTCACCTTTATATAGGTACCTATGAAGATAAAAATTAGTTAGCCATGGCATATTTACTATTTATTCATCAAATTCTTTCATTTTAATTATTAAATAATTTGTTTTCATCGACAGACATTGTATTAAAATGGAAAGTTTATTTCTTTAAGCGAAAAAAAAAAATTCTAAAATGATATATTCACTGAAAATATACACTGAATGTATGTGTATGAATACACAGTAAATGTTATAAAAATAAATGAATTATTTAATGTGTGTAAAGTATCTAAGATATTATGAATTCAACTGGCATTTGATATTGTGACTTAAGCTATAATGTATCTCAATTTAATGATCAAATAACGTGTTGATAAATAAGTAATATAAATAATAGAATGATTTTTAGTAACAACAGTAGCTTTTAATAATAAAAACGTCGATATTTAGTACAGCATTTAATTGAAGTCTGAAATGATTATTAGCATACACTTAAAAAACTTCTTTTGATTGTATATACGCACATTAACATGGGATATAAAATCAAACGTTTCACGGATGATTATCAGTAAAAACTAACATCAGAAATACTGCAGATCAGTGAGATCAGCAACTGTAAATTCACAATAAAATCTGATAAAATCATGATGTCTGGGAGCTTGACATCGAATCTTGGTGGTGTTATTTTAACTAGTGTACGTATACATTATTACATCTATAATGCATATCATACAGGCGTGAAATGTGAACTCATGTGTACAGATATAGTTTAATGAAATGTTAGTTATATACATGCAGGTTAACTTGCAGCCGGCTAAAGACCC